GGATAGACGGATAGAGAGATAGATGAATAATTGGACAGTTGGGGATGGTTGGACAGATGAATGGATGGATATGTGTGAATGGATGGATAAATGAAGTGACAGTTGCGCGAGGTATGTTAATAGTCTTCTAAAGTTTTTAGCGTGTCGGTTGGAAAGAAATGGAATTTCAATGCCGTTTGGAATCATTTCCATGTAGTTGGAAGAATGTGATATAGTATTGAAGATGACATTGAATTATGACATTTTTTTGGCTTGTTCAAGCCTTTTCACATGTCTAAACTGGAAATAAGCATAGGTTATTTTCAAGATAAAAGAGTTATTTTCATTGATTAAAATTAGTCTGTTATTTATAATTATTCACAGCTGGGATCAATCTATTCGTTGGTTAACATCAAAATATTTGATTCAATGGTGTATTAATATGAGGTTATAGTTATGTTTTATTATTTAATATCCACGTTTTTTATAATTTGTTGTGATTGGATTGATTCATGTTAACATTTCACAGTAAGAAATGGAAATCCGGTTTGAAGAGAGAAAGAAATAAGTGTAAAGCGTAATCTTTGGTTTCCTTATTTGCAATCATTCAAATTATTGAATCAGCCGATTGGTCCATCAATAATTCTTTGATCTGTGCGATTTTGTGCCCTAAATAAAGCCAACCAACATTTATCGAATATTTCTTAGTTTCATCTTTCATCCTTTTGATAAGTTTATTTAAAGTCAACCTTGCTTTGATCATTTTGTTAAAATGTTGTTCAGTTTTCTTCGCCCTTTTACAAAAACTTCTTTTAATAAGAATTATTGGAAGAAAGTTTCACTTCCCTTCTTCAGTTCTACTTCTTTCCATACTTTCATTAATTAAAAAAAATATGTATATTTGCCAGTATATATTTTCATCCCTTTGTAGTTCTCATAAAATAAATTGCAAATTAGATAAGATTTCACTATTAAAATAATTGTTGTTTAATCATTAAATTGTTATTTAATGGTTATTTGATTATTTTTAGTCGTTCAAAAGGATCTGTTATGATCATTGATACAATATTTGTGGTGCATAGAATGAGAAAGAATTCTCAACAGTTCAATAGGTATCATTCTTATCGTGCTTAATTAGTGGGATTAATTAGTAGAATCATTTATGAAACAGAAAAATTCATGTATGATTTTCCAATTTGCCTTTCAAACTACGCAATTTCTCGGCAAAGAAAAAAAGGAAACGAGTAAGAGAAGGAAAGGAAATTGTTACCGATGTTTAGTTGTGATGATATGAAGGGATTAACTAATACGATTTGATGAATGTTTAACAGTTCTTATATTTTCTTAATTATTTCATTTTTACTACTGTTTCTTTGCCGTTTTTTTTCAATGCTATTATTTCATAAACGATGAACTGTAATCAAAGTATCATTCATTCCGCCCGATAAATTGATAATTATCTGATCATTCTTACTCAAAATAATGTTTGTATCCTTTAATATTAAAAATAGCAAATATTTGTTTGTTTTTTTTTTCATTACCATCAATTATCGATAGTACCATCAAATTTTAAACATCCCTAGCTAATAATTAATTAATCAGTAAATAAATATATTCTTGAATGACTTATTCTTTTTTCCGAAGAAAAAAGAATAATACAACCTATTCCAATTTTTGCTCAACAGAGGAATATGGGTGTTGGACGGGCAGTTGCAGCAGTAGCGATAGGTTTAATTATTGGATTTTTGAAGACACCGAGAAATGATTACAAATCAAATGGGACGGTACAAGAAAATCTTCAACCAATTAGAGAAGCTTTTGAGTAAGTTCTTTTTTTTTTTCTTTTTTAAACTCTGTAAATGGGAAAACGAAAAATCTTTCAAATATTTCTAGAAATAATATGTGAAATGAATTCTCTTTTGTTATGTGTTCATTGGATGACAAATATATCAGAATGATCGATCGAAGATAATAAGCAAGAGAAAAAAAATTATTAAAATATTTTTGATGAATTAATAAAATTTAAGCTAATATAAGGACAGTAATGTATTAGCTAATATTTAAGTCATAGTTAATTATGGTTCTTAATTTAACTGAAAATGATGACAATAATTTTATGAACAATAACAAATTTTTTCCTTTTTAGCGAAATTTTATCGCGAGAAAGAGAAGGATTAGCATTTGCTACCTATAAAAATGATGAACTTATAATCGATCTTTGGGGTGGTTATGCCGAAAGGTGTTTATTTACTCTTCATCTTTTCAATAATCTTTTATTCTCTTCTAAATTTTGATTAATTTGCAAAATTTGGCATAAATTTTGTCAAGTAATAAATTAATGATTTCAAAAATTTTAATATTTCTACAAAAATGACCTAATCTAATTTTAAGATGAATGATTTAGTTTTTAAAAGCTAAATTTTTCTTTATTGAAAAAGATTTTAATCAATGTTTTTATTTGTCTGTTACATTTTTCTATGCCAATATGATAAGCTAATTATCTGTATTTTTATTTTATACAAAATTTTTTAAAAATATGGTTAGCATAGCACAGAGCTGCATTTCAAACCTGGGAACGTGATACTATGACGTTAGCATTTTCATCATCGAAAGTTGTTGGTGCCTTAATTATTGCCATTCTTGTTAGTCGAGGACAATTGCAATATGAGGATAGGGTTAGTTAAGCTTTTGTAACTTTTTTATAAATTTTGTTTTCCTAATTTTTTATTAATTGATTCAATTTGAATAATTCAGGTTGTAAAATATTGGCCTGAATTTGGTGCTCAAAATAAGGACAATATTACTGTTCAATGGATCCTTGAACATAAAGTAAGTTTTTTCAGATTAAAACTTCCAAATATAATAAAATTTTTTAAATATTCTAAAGGAAAATTATCGCTAATTGCTAATTGTAGGCTGGTTTAATTACATTCGATGAAGAATTGACAATGGAACAGGCTCGAGATCATCATTATATCTCTCGTATTATTGAAAAGGTTCGTCACTATAATTCATTGCAATATAAAATTAAAATTTGTGCAATAAATTTCTTTAAAAAAAAGAAGGATCTGCATCAAAATTACTTAATTTTTACCTTTATCATCTTTTATATTCTGATCTATATTATATTTAGAATAATGCTTTCTTTTTCACAGCAGAAAAAAGTTACATGAATGTTTCGAGTGCATTCAATGAATTTAAATTAAAATTGATTTATTCAAAAAACTTATCAGACGAAACCGAAGTGGCCTGCAGGTACAGCAGCGGGTTATCATCCATTAACATTCGGTTGGCTGTTAGATCAAATTGTCCGACGTGCTGATCCGTTGAAACGTGGTATTGCGCAATTTTATCGTGAAGAAATTCAAAAATATATGGATGGTTTGTTCTTTTATACTAGAATAAACATTAATATGATAAATGAGTGATATAATTAACGGAAATTAATTGCAGATAAGGATTTCTATTTGGGTTTACCTCGTCATGAACATTATCGAGTAGCACGGATTGCTCAATCAACTACATTTGAATTCGTTTATGGAATGGCCAGCTCTGTGCAATATTTTGAGCTCATATTCAATTGTCTCTTCCGCTTTCTTAATTGTGAAATATATGATGCTAGCAACTATCCATTATGGCTTAGTTTACTAAATGTTAGCTTTCAACTGTTAATTGTTACCGATGACTTGTTATTGGCTGTGTTGATTTATTGGAAGATAAATCCTTAGACTGCCATGAAAGTTTCTTTTTATCGCCTCTCTATTATAATATTCCTACAAACACGTAATATATTTCAGGACGAAATGCCGTACAATAATCCAGCGGTTCGAGAAGCAGAAAATGTTGCAGTATTAGGTATTGGAACAGCTCGAGGACTTGCAAATGTTGTTTCCACTGTTTGGAAGGTAATTATTGTTAGAATATAGTATAACTTGGACTAGTACTTGGATTAGTTTAATTAGTTGAAAAGAATGACTGGCAATAATTAATAATTGACAATTTATGTCACCTTATGAAAAAACAATATTGTAAAAATGTTATAAATTAAAATAGTTTTCCAATGTAACTTTAATTATTTTATGATAGAAAAATATTTCAAGATGCTTAATTCTTTTCAAAAAGATAAGTAAATTGAAATAAATGATTCTTTTTCAGTTAATTTATCATACAAAGGAAATTTTTGTATTTAGAAAAATTTAATAAGTGAAGAGGTTTGGAAACGATTAAGTAAACCAACGGAATATGGGAAAGATAGAATAACTTATTTCACGAACTATCATGGCCATGGCTTCTTCTACAAACCACATCCAATCCGACAAAACGTTCGTTATTATTTTAAAATTAAACGAAATTATTAAAATGTCATAATCGACTGATTAATTTCACAGCAAACAGTGCATTAAAATATGCAACACAAAATATCACCTGGAAATGGCAATCCATATTTCATCATCTTTTCAATCAGATTCAAATAGGGACATATGCAAAAGAAAAAAGTTACAAATTAGAATATGATTTCAAAATTCGAATAAGTGTTAAAAGCAAATATCATTCTGATTTACATTATCCTCCAATAACGGCATTTCCATTTCCCACTTTCCCAATCTTACTTCTGTCCTTTACTGAGGTATGATTATGAAAAGCTATAAATTCAGTTTCGTGTGAAAAATAAAAGTGATAATGCATATATTTACAGGAATACGTAATGATGCATCCTGGTCATGGAATGCAAAACTTGATCATTGATCCGTTCGGCAAGGTCTGATGAATTTATTAATTTCTAACTTGTACAACTGTTTGAAAAATTAGATGATAACTGATAATAATGAAGTATGCATTACAGATAGTGACAGTAATGATCCGAAATACTATAATGTGGAAACATAGCGCCCTCCATGAAAGTTTTGATTTGACAAGTGATATCATTCGAATTACTAATGTGAATTCTTAAGCAATTTAACTTATATATTATTAGGTATAAATGATTGCTTTTTTATTTGTTACACTTTTCATATCAAAGCAACAGATGTTATGAACAATCTTACGCTGTTACTGCGGGAGAATCAAAACAAAATCGAAGTGCAGATTTTTAAAAAATTTAATAAGATTAAATTAACCATCATGAAAAGTTGTTAGGCAGAAATAAGATCTCATAATTTTCAATGGTAATAATGTTCGAAAATTGTTTTAAAATATAACATAATAAAGCGAACATTGTCAATTTAATTTTTAATCTAGTTCTATTTTTGAATTTTAAACTGGAGTTCCATACTTTGCGTAATGCTCCTTTTTTTACATTGCTAGCACAGTTGATGCATTGCTGCAGTCTTTCTATTTTAATTTTTCATTTAATAAAAGACAAAGGAAAATGAAAGGCAATATTTATTATCTCCTCCTCAAAAAAAGAAGCAGATAAAGGAGAGACGTTCAAGGTATATGAAAGGATTATTATAGCTATAAAGAGAAACATCCAAAAGAAACGGTAAAGAGAAGATGAAACCCAATAAATAACTAAACAAAATAAAACAATAAAAGTAAAAACAGAACCCAAAGATTAAACAATCAGAAGTATAGAATAAAAATAAGGCAAAACCTTACATGATATACCTTGTATATCGTCAAAATTCATTGAAAAAAAATTTATTAGTATCAAAAAAAAAAAAAAAACAGAAATAATCACTATTATAGCACTATCAAAAGATTGTATCCCATGTACATAAAGCAACCCTAAATAGCAGCTAAATTCAAAGTATAATGAAAATGAGCTGCAAAATAGCTGATATCATATAAAACCACATCCAAACTGCCCATACTCAAAATAATGCTATTCAAACCATTAATAGTAAAAAGAAAAAACTATAAATCTAACACCACAATAGCTGTCGGGAAACCCGGAATTTTGTGATTGATATAAATGGAGAATTTGCATAACTGACAGTTAGACTAAAGTTAGACTCTCCATAATCTTCAATCGATGCTAAATTGAATTCCTTATCACACGACATTCTCGAATGTCATTCACAGTTACTGCTACCATTACTCTCTCTTACTTTTCATGTATGACAACAAATGCAGCTAACGAGTAACCCTCTCTCTTCACATCACATTCTCTATCTCTCTGAGTCTGCATGATCTAATATTGATTTGTCCTATCCCGATGATCTTTTCTATCTCGTCATGCCTTCTATTGATTTATTATATATCCACTGTGCTAATACAGTTATCGAGTGGAATTCGATTCCACCGAGACATGTACTTCTTGCCCAGAACAGAGCGACTCGATTAAGTCCCTGCCAATCAATAATCAGGGATTGGAGTGTTCATTTTTGGATGCCGTTAATTGCCAATCGTCGAATA